TCAGTACAAAAGACAAAGTGTATTTGCGTCTATCATCAGTGAGCAGTGTTGAGTGGATGATCCATCTCAGCCTTCTGTTGTGGTCCTCAGTATCATGGATACCAGTCTCCAAGCAAATTGATTCACTTCATATGACACCCAGAAATAGTTGGAGGCACTGAATGCTACAAAGGCTATGAAACCTGACAACATTCTGGCAATACTACAGCAGTTTTGTGCTCCAGAACTAGGTACACCCCTAGCCAAGCTCTTCCAGTACAGCTACAACACTGGTATCTACCAGATAATGTGAATAATTTGCTAGGATATGCCCTGTCTAAAAAAAAGACACATCCAACCTGGCTAACTACCACTCTATTAGTCTATTCCAGATTTATCAGTAAAGTGATGGAAGGGATCATTGAAATGCTATCAAACAATACATGCTCAGGAATAATCTACTCACTGATGCTCAGTTTAGGTTCCATCAGCTCCATTTAACTCTTGAATTCATTACACCCTTGCACTGAACATAGACGAAAGAACTAAACACCAGACATGAGGTGAGAGGCACTGCCCTTAAAAATAATCAATAGTCAATTGACTGAATGGGCAATAGTGCCTAATAGAGGAGTGAAATTGAAAGGGAAGAATGCAGGGAAGGCAAAATAAAATGGCGACATGCAGAGATAGAAACACGGAGGCAGTGGCGAATATATCTGAAAGAACATTATAAGTTTTTAAGAAAGCAGGAAACAAATAAGGCAACTTGCCTTATCAATCCTATTCTTCCCAAAGGTTATCATGCCCTTTATCCCATTAATTTAATGTGTTAAGGGAATGTACAGCATAAATACTCCTTGATCTGGATTTTTAATAAAAAATATTCCTGCTTATTTTTTAAAAATTGGTTCGCAGGGTGTGTAATTTGATCGCTTAACCAGCATTCATTGTCCATTCTTAATTTGCCCAAAGGTAGTTAAGAGTCAACCACAATACTGTGGGTTCAGAGTCACACGTAATCCAAACAAGATAAGTATGGCAGATTTATTTCCCTGAAGGACATTGGTGAACCAAATAGTCTTTATGATAATTGACAATGCTAACACCCCATCTCCATTGCTCAATCCTGTCACTCTGGTCGCAATGGAATTCTCCAATCCCATTTGGAGAGAAGCCACTTAAGTTTAATATCAAATTAAAGATCAGTCCAAACTTCCTTTAACAGTATGTTAACAAACCCGAGGCCATGTTCTTTGGTTAATGTAACCACTTTATCTCTGATTCCCCAGCTGCAGTTGCAAGTTGATTCAGACAGTGTGAAATTCTGATGTCCTGTCTGATCCAAGAGCAGATTTATCTGACCCCAATCCCACCTCCAAGTCCACGATCCTTTCCATTAACCAAGTTTCTTTGTAGGGTCTGCAGCCCTTTCTTTCCATTTCTTTGCCCAGATAGCCATCTATACCTTGTAATTGCCTTGAGGTTGACACTTTCAATGCCTTAATTGCCTGCAGCTATGCAAACGGCATCAGCTTCTGTTCAAGATCATTATCTCAGCCAAAAATTTGAATCTCATGTTTTAACTTCTCTTAGTGGCTTGCTGTTCTGTCTTTGTAACCCACGTATGCCCCTCCTGATCCATATGTTCATTCCTATATTTTCATGTTTATTTGCAGTATCTATGATCTATCTTGTTGCCCTCTCTAGCCATTCTGTTTCTTCCTGCCTATGAAGGCACTCCCCACTCCTAGAGCACTGGAAATTCTCACCCCTTCTTTCCCTTCACTGCACCTTTGGTAGTTCCTGTGAACAAAAGAATCCAATTTCATGACAAAATGTGGGCCACACAACATTGAGAACACCAAATTGGCTTTTGGTTGCTGCAGTTATCTTCCTGCAATTCTCAGGAGCTTGTCATAAATAGCTTCATTATTCATACATGTAGCTTGAACTTTCAAAAGTATATCTATAATTATCAGCCTGTAATTTTCCATGAAAAATAATTTCCAAAAGTATTCTTGCGCAGTAATGGAAACATTGAAGAAAACACAAAAAGACAGTTTATTTTAGACCAGGCAAAGGATATAATTTATAATAAAATAAACCTGTTGACATGCTTACCTCTTCTATCATAGAATTATTAATGGCTTTAGAAGTTGTTAGAAGCACAAATAGAGATTGCTGGAAAAGCTCAGCAGGTCTGGCAGCATCTGTGACCAGAAAGCAGAGTTATTGTTTCGGGTCTGGTGACCCTTCCTCAGAACTGATGGTATCTAGGAAATTGTTGGTTTATATGCAGAAGATAGGGTGGGTGGAGGGGGTAAGGAGTAAACAATCGGTGGGGATAGAGCCCAAAGAGAGAGAAGAACAGTTGGACAGACAAAGGAGTGGATAATGATCTAGCTAGAGGGTGACTAGCTGTTAATGGAGACTGTTAGTGGTGAGCAATAGGTAGAGTGTAATAGCGGACTATGTGATAACAAAGCCTGGCATGCGGGGTGGGGGCAAGGACAGTTCAGGCCATAAAATTATTGAACTCAATATTGAGTCGGAGGGCTGCAGGGTCCCCAAGTGGAAAATGTGATGTTGTTCCTTTAGCTTGTGCTGATCTTCGCTGGAACACTGTGCCAAGCCTGAGACAAGGGTGTCGGCCAGGGAACAGCTTGTTGTGTTAAAGTGGCAGGCAACTGGAAGCTCAGGGTCTTTTTTGCAAGCAGAATGTAGATGTTCTGTGAAGTGGTCACCCAGCCTATGTTTTGCTTCCCCAGTGTAGAGGAGACCACATTGTGAGCAGCGAATACAGTAGACTAGATTGTGTGATGTGCAGGTAAAGTGCTGCTTCACCTGGAAGGTATGTTTGGGCCCTTGGATACTGGGCAGGGAAGAGGTAAATGGGCAGATTTTATACCTTTGATGGTTGCAGGGGAAGGTGCCATGGTTAGTGGGGGGATGTTCGGAGTGAAGGAAGTGAGGACCAGGGTCTCCCGGAGGAAATGGTCCCTGCGGAAGGTGGCCAAGGGAGGGGAGGGAAAGATGTGTCTGATGGTGGCATCTTGCTGGAGGTAGCGGAAATAGTGGCTGATGACCTTCTGGATGTGGATGCTGGTGGGATGTTAGGTAAGGACAAGGGGAACCCTTTCGCTGTTGTGGGAGGTACGAGAAAGGGTGAGGGTGGGAGTGCGGGGTATGGGTCGGACCCGGTTGAGGGCCCTGTCAACAACGGTGCTGGGAAATCCTTGGTTGATGAAGAAGGTGGGCAGTTTGGTGGCTCCCTTGTTGAAGTTGGCATCATTGGAACATATGCAATGGAGACAGAGGAACTGGGAGAAGTCTTTACAGGAAGAAAGATGCGAGGCTGTATAGTCCAGGTAGCTGTGGAAGATGGTGGGTTTATAGTGGATATTAGTGGCCAGTCTATCCCCAGAAATGGAAACAGAGATGTCAAGGAAGGGATTGGAGGAGTCAGAGATAGACCAGGTGAAAGTGAGTGCGGGGCGGAAATTGGAAGCAAAATCGAACTTACCCAATTGCGGATGAGAGAGGGAAGCAGCACCAATGATATCATTGATTTATCAGAAAAAGAGTTGTGAATGGGGACCAGAATAAGACGGGAACAAGGAATATTCCACATACTCCACAAAGCGATAGGCATAACTGGGGCCCATGGAGGTACCCATCTGACGTGAAGTTGAGAGGAGTTAAAAGAGAAGTTATTCAGGGTGAGGATGAGCTCGGCCAAGTGGAGGAGGGTGGTGGTGGGTGGGGATGGTTCAGGCCTTTGCTCCAGGAACAAGCAGAGAGCCCTGAGACCAGCCTGACGGGGGATTGATGTGTAAAGGGATTGCACTTCTATGGTAAAGAGGAGGTGGCTGGAGCCTGCGAACTGGAAATTTCGAAACTGGTGTGAAGTGTGAGAGGAATCACGGATGTAAGTGGCAGGCGTAATATTCCAATTAGAAGTTGTTATAGTGAAATAACAAATGTGCTGGATGATCGTATTGAGATACAGGAAAGTTAGGACTTTAAATGATGTAATGAAATGCAACAATTTATCAAAGTTGCTGAATCATCAATACATAATAATAATGGCCTCATTTAACTATCAGTTGTGCAAACCACAATTATATATTGAAACAATAAAAATTTAGCTACACTAATTCTTCCACACTTCTTTTACTTTTATCTTGGCATGGGTTGTTTTTTGATATAAATAAACATAGTTTTACACCTTCACATGAGGACAATGTTATTGAACCCTGTTATTTACTTGGTGAGCAAGAAGCTCAAAATTGCTTGAAATGTAAGGCTAAGTGGTTGGAGTTTCTTGGTATCTCAATGTTTGATGGTTATTCATGTCAGGAGGAGTCAGAATAAACATATGCAAGAAATCTTGCAGCAACAAATGAAAAATGATTCAAAAATGAACAATATAGATGCACATCAGTGGATTGAGGGGTTCCAAAATTTGCATACAGATCAGAGATAATTCTTATGTACACTTGCAAATTAAATGCAGGGTAATTGCTACCTTTCTGTGGGACTGCGATATAGAGCAGTTATGATTCTAAATATGACAGATTCAGGAGAAACCACTTGGAAAAATGGGATTTGTAAGGCTATATGTAACCCTTATTCTAAACTTCAATAACATATCAATAAATTTTTATCATATCTCAGGAAGTATTAACTAGTTCGCTGATAAGCAATAGCATTAATTGTGTTATGCCTCAGGTGTTAGCATAATATTATACTCTTAACATCTTTATCGATACTTGTACCTCAAATAATATATTCTATTTTATTTTCAAATGTTTGTGTGTTTTTAATTGAAGAAAATATTTTTAATTATGTGATAAATATCCAGGCCAGTCTGATTGGATACATGTTCTCATGCCCATATTTATTATTATAAGAAAGGTTACAATTGAATACAAACCTTTATCATTTCAAAGACTACTCATCTAACTTCACATTGTTTGTGATGTATTTTAAGTGCTTCTTTTGTTTTGTCTTAACAGATTCTCTTCTGCACATTAAATACTCACAAAGTCGACATGCAGAAATTATTAGGAGGCCAGATTGGACTGGAGGACTTTATCTTCGCCCATGTAAAAGGACAAATGAAGGAAGTGGAGGTGACAAAGTCGGAAGATGCTCTTGGTCTGACCATCACTGACAATGGAACAGGTTATGCTTTCATTAAGGTACAGAAGCACTGACTGTGGACACTCTGCTCAAGTACAGCTCAATAAATCAGGGGTTGGGGAGAGCGAAATGATGTAAAGAATGAAATATTAAAACAGTCAATGTAAATCAGTACATATAAAAGTGTGATAAAAACTAAACAAAAATGGTGATAAACATAAAATTACTTGACCTTTAATTATGCTTTTGATTTAAAAAGAGAGGGTTTTTGTGCTACATGTAGGTACAAACTGGCTTAGTGTGGAGCTGCATTGGCAGCAAGTCCAAATTAAAGGTTAACGTGTTCAATTAAAGGTAGGTGTCAGCACATGTTGACAAATAGTTGCTTCAGCTTTATTAAGAAAATCAAGATACTCGTCAACCTGGGTTCAGATATGAAGAAACGTGTCTGAGCTGTATGAAGTCAAAGGAAAGCTGAAAAAATGATCCTTACACCAATTCTTTGAGCAAAGGTAGCTGTCACCTATTTCAGACAATTCAAAGCTCTTGCGGATACCCAGTGTGAATATGTGGAAGATGTAGTATTTTCCCAGATGACCACTTCTAATGCTTTGTGGTTTTTGCCACCTCTACCAGTGTGTGGTACTGGATGGTGTAAGGTAGTTCACTGCTGCCAATCTTCCTTCATCTTTTCCTTTTTCTTGGGTCTACCTAGTGATTAGTGGTAGAGGATTCCACAATAGAGTATCTACAGAAGAGGCTCTGTTCTGTTAGAAATCAGGAAGTTTTGCAATTGGTCAGGCATAATTGTTACTAGGTCCTTAGAGAGGTACTATAGGTATCTGTTTCCCAAAAGCTAAAGTAGAACTCCTTGTCTCCATCCACAGACTGTGTGCAACATTACTAGAATGGTTGTAATCAGTGTAACATCAACATTAACCATTTCATAATCATTACACTAGACAATTACAGGATTGCACAATTTGGTGCTTCGGGGATGTGTCCCAGAGAACACAAGGTCATTAGAGTATTCATGGCAACAATAGCAGAATTAGACCACTAGGTGGAGACGGACTAAAATGAATAAAACATTTAGGAGCACTTATTTTTATGCAGAGACGGAGAAACAGAAATTTCCTCCATCTTGGCAAATTCTGCAGGAATTCTATCCTCACTGACATGTGGTGTTTCTTAACTATGGGCCACCGGCATTGAGAGGCCCACATTTTACAGCTCTGAAATGTATAGCTTTGGAGGCATAAGGATTGGTGCAATGTGGCATCAGAGTGGACCTCTGGCACCATCACATAGGATTTGGATTTGACAAACAGTAGATGGAAACCCTGTGTGAGAATGGCACTCATTGTTTACAGAACGGGCAATGGGCAGGTCAATGATGTCATTGAGGAACAAGTTGAACAGGACTTTGCTGTCCCCTCCAAATTTTACAAGAAATACATGGGGAAACAGGGCCTAGGTGAATAATTAGGGGGCACAATGGGGTAGCAACTCAGCTTATTGTTGTAATCAGGACCTGTGGGTTTAGGCATTGTGCCTTCACAGAAAGACTGACGCAGAGCAGCCATAGGGTTGAGCATATGGAGAAGGAGCTGAGCAAATAAGCTCCTGGCACAGGGAGCAGAGGTCCCAACTAGAGGCTTGGACTGGGCATTGTCAGAGAGGCAATCAACAGCATGGACTTAACATGGGCAGTACCCTAATGCGATGTGGGCCATGTTCATTCAGGTGGTGGGTCCTCCATTGAGGAGTAAAGCCAATCTTATGAGAAATCCAGATCCAGAAAGCAGAAATCGCTTGGCCACCCGCAGGATGGAAAAGTGGTAAAAGGTCACAGTGGGTACGTTAGGCAGTTTCCAGTGCGGGATAAGTTGGTGCCCTGTAGCAAGGGAATACAGACAGAGGCTGAGCTACCTGCAGGTGGCTTAGGGGCAGTGGTTCCCAAATTTCTTCCCAATGTGACACCATGCCTCAGGCTTCATTGAGGAGGGAAGGTCAGAGAAGGTGCCAGGGAAGGTCAGAGAATTGTTGAGCAGGTTGAGAGGGGAAGGTTTTAGAGTTGAAAATTCTTGAACAGGGATGGGTTTGCCCTGAAAAGAGTGGAGATCCACCTGTAACAGTAAATGGGCCTCGGAAAACCAGATCCCCCCAGCAGGGAAAAGAAAACAACAATTAAAGGGACGTAATTCCTGTCAAAACATAAAGTAAACTCCACAGCTGCCATTGAACCTTAGAGCATGTGACTCCAAAATCATGTGGCCCAGAGGTTGGGTAGCTCTGGTGTAGAGACCATGTTACCCAAAACTGCCCATCTCTTGAGAACTGTGGGAGATCCAAGTTGGTGTTGGAGGAGGTGGGTCAAGTTGCATTGGCAGTTTTTCATTGCAAAAGTGAGCGTGAACAGAAATGACTATGCTTCTGGCTGATTCCACTCCCATTGTAGGCATAGAATCATAGAGAATCGTAGAATCATGGATGGCAACTCCTACTCAGTTTGCAGATCAGTGCAGCCAACATAAGCGTTATCAAACTGATGCAGACAGTCAGGTTGTGAGAGCTCGAGGATTCAGTGCCATCGCTGGATTCCCCCAGGTGTTATATCTCACAGGCTGCAGATATTGGCCAGCCAATGACCTTCATAACAGGAAAGGATACCATTCCATCAACATGCAACCGATCTGCACAAATCGCCAGCAAATCCTGCAGGTGCCTGAGTGGTGCCCTGCCAGCAGCCATGACACCTACCCACTGAGTTACCCCAGTTTTCATTCTTTCCCCCCTCACTCCCATCATGCCTTAAACAATTGGTTCCTGCTGACAAGGGATGAGCATTGAAGGGCTAAATAACAAAAAATTGCCAGGATCGAGCAGGGGAACAATACAATGGTAAACCATGGGATGACCCGAGTCACCTCTGAGTAGACTCTCGGTTGGCTCAAAATGAGGTCCGGCTGGCTGTTTCATTCAGATTTCCTCAGTGAGCATCAAATGGTCTGCTTGACATGACACAAATATCCTGGTGCTGCAGAAAGGATTTTAGAGATGGGCGTGGGGATAGAGTTTGATCACAGATGAATTAGTGAAGTACAAAGCATCCTCAGCTGAGGAAGAAGATGGAGAAAATGAAGACCATTTGTCACTTTTGAAAAGCCAACAGGAGCTGCATGGAGGACTCTAAGAAACAAGTATAAGAGATCATGGGAAGTGGACAGAAATCACAGGCCCCAGCCCCAGCACACACTCCGAATCAGGCACAGTATGTCCCATTAGATCCTTGGGCCCTATTATTGGATCTTGATACACCTCACTGTCCTGGGCTCTTATTAACAATTGATCCTTTCTGCTGCAGCCATCCAACAAATCAAAGTTCATTTTAAATGATGCTGTTGCCATTCACCTCAATTCTGAGCCTGGGTCCCATCACTCACAGCCACCTGGACTGTGCAATAGATGACTCCACTCACCCTGGTCACTCCCAACCAGCTCATGGAATGGACGTGATCCCCCTGCAATGCCAAAGGGCTTCCAACAGTGGTTGGAAATTTCCAGAAAACAAATAACACGATGATTACAAATATAATCTGACATAAGCAGGAACACTTTAAATCTCTACTTACCTGAGATGCTGAGGTGCATCTAGCATTAACTCTGTATCTTCATTTTCTTCAGTGTGACAGCTGGACAGTGGCCTGGGATCCCCTCAGCGGGTGTTCTTTGGCCACCTTAGACTTGGTCGGGCCCAATATTGTGATTGTCTCTTGGTTGGGGGCTGGGTTCTGCTCTATTATCACAGTAGTTTGATGAAACTGTGTCACTGGCAGAGGGCCTGAGAAGTGGCTGTCTGCAGCAGGAACACCTTGTGAGGTGATCCCAGATACAGAAGACAGCTAATCCACCACTGTCACAAGGCATTCTTGTACCTCTCTGCTGACCCGGGAACCGTAGGCCTCTAGTGGAGATATCCAAACACCTTATCCATCTCCTAGTCTCACCATTAGTCTCTTGGGCTCTTGGGCATTTGCAGGCGTGTACACACTTCCAACATCCACTGACTGATCTGCTGAATGTGGTCTCCTTGGACAGTTGCCAATTCTCAGTGAAGGAGACAAAAAAAGCAGGCAGACAGAAATGAAAGACGCCACGCGTATCCTGGATGAATTGCTCCACTGTCTGAGCAAGGCACATACACCATCTGGAATGTCTGTTAGATTTCCATAAGCTGTGCTGAATGTCTGATGTCTGTGGGGTTAGAGGTGGTCACATGGCTATAGAGGTGGTCTGAAGCAGTGACTTTAAAGATGGCACCAACATAACTGACCACACCAGCCAACTATGCAGCCTCTGCCTCAGTCCTTGCCTGGGGCAGTGAATGGTTATTTTTCAACTGCCCACCTACCATACCAATGGTGTGAGACTCCACTGGGGCGAAAGGGCTACATGTATAGGGACCTGCCTTTCCCTCTTTGCAAAGTTATGTGGCATCCTGGGCGCCATCTATTAACCAATGGCATTATTAATCTGGCATGCCTATCGATTGGAATTTACAGAGTTTCTGAGGGATATTGTGTTATTGAGCTAATTATATTTGCATTAAATTCATTTTCACTATAATTTCAAATTTCAGCAAACTTGCCTCACCTGATTTAAGATAAAGATAAGCTGCTTATTTGAACAAATGAGCTTTAAATGCTGGCATTTTAACCTCTCCTCACCTGAACAAATTGAACAAATGGAATCTGGTTGGTATCAGGAATGAACAGAAAGTATTTTGTATTGCTCATAATGATGTCCCAAACGTACCAAAAATAACAATCTGTCAGAGCTCCATCAGTTAAAACACATTAAAATTAAATGTTAAGAAAAAACCAAAAGAACTGTGGATGCTGTAAATCAGGAACAAAAACAAAGTTGCTGGAAAAGCTCAGCAGGTCTGGCAGCATCTGTGAAGGAAAAAACAGAGTTAACATTTCGGGTCCAGTGACCCTTCCTCAGAACCCTGAGCCGAAATGTTAACTCTGTTTTTTCCTTCACAGATGCTGCCAGACTTGCTGAGCTTTTCCAGCAACTTTTTTTTTGTTCACAATTTAAATGTTGCTGGTTGGAAAGCATTTACATTATCTGATTATTGGTTTAACAACATTTATATGATTTCTATGTGAAAAAGTATCACGTTGAACAGGAACTAATCAGTGTTAGTAACCGACTCCTTAAATAGTTAAAATGAGCAAAGATGCTAAACTAATTCCAGAATACTTGTGTTCAAAACTTCAACTTTACAGGACCAGAAAACTGGAAAAAAGGTGAGTTTCTGCTTTCTTGGACTTCTGCTCATTTCATGATGGTTCTTCCAGCTGAAATCATATCCTCATGAGATTCATATACTTTACATATCTGTTCTCGTCCCTTCCTCTAGATCTTGTTGACACTGTTTTGTTAATTTATAGCTTGATTCTGCATTATCACACTAAGAACTATTCTGTTCTAGCAGATTAAACTCCAGTGATAACATTGTAGCATCATTTTGTGGGGAAAACATTACCCTAGAGAATCAGTTAAAAGATTAAATAATCAAATTTCTCGGAATCAAGCAGGCAATCATATGAAGATGTAAAATGCTAGAAACAATTTAACTTTTAAACATTAATAAATAATTCAGGGAAGACCTCCCTCCCATCTCAGGGTGAAGTTAATAACATTGCTTCCACATGTCTAGGCATAGCTTTTGAAGTGAAATACCAGCTAAAGTCAAATTAATGATTTCTTTCTGTCTTTAATTAATGTAATGAATTGTTGAAACTGTGCCTGTCTATTGAACTTTGAAATACTTTATGAAAAGATCGATCTCTTTCATATGGCTAATTAAATTCATTTTTACTAAACAACAACTTTGATTTCACAGAGGATAAAAGAAGGCAGCACAATCGATAGAATCAAGACAGTCTGTGTTGGAGATCACATAGAGGGAATAAACAATCAAACGATAGTAGGTTGTCGACACTATGAAGTTGCCAAGATGTTGAAAGATTTGCCCAAAGGTCAACCATTTACGCTTGGATTAGTGGAACCGAGAAAGGCTTTCGGTGAGTCATTCAACAAAGCAGTTTACATTCAAATCACATACTGTTAATGTTTTCTATATAAGGTAATATTTATTTTGTTAAGACATTCTTAACCTATTCATTAAAACGAATCCAAATGTAATTATGCAACAAGGCATTAATGGACAACTTCAAAATGCCATTGTAATTGTAATATTTATTAACTTTGCTTCATTACTGATGAAATTATTAACCATTTCTGAGTAGGTTTGGAATTGCTCTAATTTTTTACAGAAGTCTATTATTACAGGTTTGCAAATGGCTGAATACTCCACATCAGCCAATAAATAAATATTTTGTTTATTGACAGTTTAACGGTGAATTTGGTATTGATAGTTATAGTGGAGAGAAAGTGGATATCGGATACCAGAGCTTATTATTTGTGTGAGGGATATTCCACTCATAGAAAACACAGCAGAATGAAAAAAGGAAGTTTAATAATTTTTGTTTAACTATTGAGGCTGCCCATAGCTGAGTGCAATGGACTCTGGGAAATGACAAACATTCACTACGCTGGCTGGCTCCTCTCACAAGCCGCATATCGCAGAGGAGCAAGCCCAGCTTGACAATTAGAGGTCCATCTGTTTCTGGGCGAACAAGGAAAGTATTGAATGCTGCTATGGAACAATTGAAGAGTGAATGCTAAAAAGCAATGGCTGTGCACAATGCTTGCAGTGATATTTCCTAGAATGTTTGACAGTTCCCAACTTAGGTGTAAATCTTATTTGACTGACCTCACAAGAAGTGTAAACAGCACTGAAAAATAGAGCTACTTTTACTGAAAACAGAAAATGCTGGAGATCATAGCAGGTCAGGTAGCATCCATTGAGAGAAAGCAAGCTAATGTTTCAAGTTCAGACGACTCTTCATCAGAACTGAAGTGAAGTGTGGAGGAGGCAGAATCAATGCAATAACACAGGGATGTGGAATTGGGGGGTGGTTGGGAGGGAGGTGTTGTTGCGGGGCGGTGGGAAGTGTTAGAGCACTGGGGGAGAAAGGATTTTGATAGTTCAGATTAAGCAATTGGAATATGAGAGTGACAGAACAATGGTGAGTCTAACTGCCAGACTGGAAAGGACAGATATTCCCACTAGAGTGTGGGAAATGAAGACAGGGTGACAGAGAATGTAACAAGTAAAGTTAAAAGAAAGGGAAGCAATGTGTTCACAATTTGAAGCAGTTGAACTCAATATTGAGCCCAGAAGATTGTAAACTGCCTACTCTGAAGATGAGAATTTGCTCCTTCAGATTGCCCTGTGATTCACTGGAGCATGGCAACATACTGAAGACAGACATGTGGGCATGTGAGCAAGATACTGTGTTAAAATGACCGGCTGCAGGAAGTCAGAGTCATGCTTACGCATCAACTGGAGCTGTTCTGCAAAGCAGTCACCCAGTCTGCATTTAGTTTCTCCAATGTAGAAGAGGTCACATTGGGTGCAATGAATACACAAGATTGGAGAAGATACAGATGAAATGCTGCTTCCCCTGGAAACATTGTGTAGGCCCTTGGATGGTGAGCAGGGAGAAGGTGAAAACGCAGGTGTTGCACCTTCTGTGGTTACATAGGAAGATGCCATGGGAAGGGGTAGTAGTGTTGGTGGTTGAGGAATGGACTAGGGTGTCCTGGAGGAAACAATCCCTGCAAAATGCAGAGAGGAGGGGTGAGGGGAAGATGTGTTTGGTGGTGGAGTTCTGCTGGAGTTCTCTGAATGGCAGACAATGATCCTTAGAATGGAGGTGGATGGGGATTGTTCAGGCCTCTGGTCGAGGAAGAAGCCAAGAGCTCTCAGACCATCCTGGTAGGGAATGGAAGTATAAGAAGGATTGGACATCCATGGGGGACAGGAGGCAGTTAGGGCCAGGGAACTGGAAATTGTCAATATGGTGGAGGGCATCAGAGGACCACCACTTTCCTCCACTTGGCTGAACTTGTTATCTCACTAAACAATTTCTCCTTTAATTTATCTCACTTCTGCCAAGTCAAAGGAGTGGCTATGGGCACCTGCATAGGTCCCAGTTATGCCTGCCTCTTTAATGGGTACGTGGAACAATCCTTGTTCCAGTCCTATACTGGCCCCTTCCCATAATTCCTTTCTTGGCACATTAATGACTGTTTCAGTGCTTCTTCATGCTCCTGCCTGGACCTTGAAAAATTTGTCTCCAATTTCCACCCTTCTATAACTTTCTCATCATCCATTTCTGATACTTCCCTTCCTTTCCTTGACTTCTTTGTCTTCATTTTGGGGAATATACTGTCCACTGCCATCAACTACAACGCCATTAACTAGCTTCACTACAGCTCTTCCCACCCTACGTCCTGCAAGGATTCCATCCCATTCTCCTTGTTCCTTCGCCTATGTTGTATCCATTTGGATGATACCACCTTCCAAAACAGTGATGCTGACGTGGCTTCCTTCTTCCATAACTGTGGTTTCCTGCCCACTGTGGTTGACGGGGCCCTCAACCACATCCGACCTATCACCTGTGCTCCTGCCCTTGCCCCTTCCCATCACTCACAACAGCATGATCGGGTCCCCCTTGTCCACACTTTTCATCCCACCAGTGTCCACGTTCAAAATATTGTTCTTTGCCATTCAGACAACTCCAGCAGAACGCCACCACCAAACATATCTTCCCTCACTCCCCCTGTCTGCATTTCGCAGTGATCATTCTCTCCGGGACACCTTAGTTCTTTCCTCAGCCACCCACACCACACCCCCTTTCCACAGCACCTTCCAATATAACCGCAGAAGGTGAAACACCTGCCTGTTCACCTCCTACCTGCTCACCATCCAAGGGCCTAAACAGTTTTTCTAGGGGAAGCAGCATTTCACATATACTTCCTCCAACCTTGTGTATTGAGTTCGCTGCACCCAATGTGACCTACTCTACATTGGAGAAACCAAACGCAGACTTGGTGACCACTTTGCCAGAACACCTCCGGTCTGTGCGCAAGCATGACCCTGACATTCCTGTAGCCGGTCATTTTAACACAGCATCTTGCTCGTGTGCTCACTTGTCTGTCCTCATCATGCTGCCATGCTCCAGAGAATTATCGCGCAAACTGGAGGAGCAATAGCTCATCTTCAAACTAGGCAGTTTACAACCTTCTGGGCTGAATATTGATTTCAACAGCTTCAAATTGTGAACCTATTGTTTTCCTTTCTTTTAGCTTTGCTTGTTACATTCTCTGTCGCCCTCTCTCCCCTGTCCCCACCCTAGTAGGACTGTATGTTCTTTCCAGTCTGGCAGTGAGACACACCATTATTCTGCCATTCTCACACTCCAATCCACTTAAAATGAACTATCAACATCCTTTCTCCCCCAACATTCCAACACTCCTCCTCCCCACTATTGCATAAATGCTGTCCCCTCTACATTTCACTTCAGCTCTGATGAAGAGTTATCTAGACTTGAAACGTTAGCTTATTCTCTCTCCATGGATGATGCCTGACTTGCTGTGATCTCCAGCATTTTTTGTTTTCAGCTCAGGTTCAGCACCTGCAGTAATTTGCTCTTACGTAGTTACTTTTACCTTTCTCCTGACACAAGCAGCTTCCTCTTTTAGACCAATTACAAGAAAGCTCCCAGATTGTGTTACATAAACTAACAACATCATTTCATCTGGTACCAGATTTTCTGGTTTGAACCACTTCCTTGCATTTTTCTAACACCATGGATGCAACCTCATGCTCTTTATCCTAATGGATTCTGCCGAGTGTAAAGTCTGACCTTTGAGTTTCCATCCTGCTGTGTAAAGGCTGCTGTCTTAGACCACACTGTCCCTATTCTTAGTCTGCCATCTTTCAGAGCCTCTATTGTCTGATTCTCAGCGGTTGAACAATCTTTTATTTATTTGATTTATTGTTGTCGCATGTACCAAGATACAGTGAAAAGTGTTGTTTTGCATGCCCTATAGGCAGATCATACCAAGTAAAGTGCAACAGGGTAACAGAACTGACTGCAGTTTACTGTGTTACAACCACAGAGAAGGTGCAGAGAGAGAGAGATCAGCATTAACAGTGGGAAAGAAGCTGTACTTGAATCTGTTTGTACATGTTTTCAAATATTTATATTTTCTGCATGACAGAAGGGGGTGAAGGAGATATAATCGGCTGGAAAGGGCCTTTGATTATGTTGGTTGCTTTCCCGAGGCTACAGGAAGAATAGATGGAGTCAATGGTGGGAAGGCTGGCTTGTGTGATGGACTGGGCTGTGTTCATAACTGTCCATAGTTTCTTGCAGTCTTGGAAAAAGCAGTTGCCACATCACACTGTGATGCATCCACTGACCTTGAAAAACTGCTCTCTAGTACAGTTCATCCATGCCTCCGTCCACAAAGTCTCAACAGCCTGTGAGCGGTGATATCTGTTATGTCATCATATCAGGAGATCAGTTAGCTTGGATGGCTGGTTTGCAAATGCAGAGGGACACCAACAGCACGGGTTCATTTCCTGCATTGCCTTGGGTTATCGTGAATGTCCTGTCTTCTCAATTTTGACATTTTCCTGAGGCATGGTGCCCCTCAGTTTAAACTCACCAACAGTCGTCTCTCTCTCTAATGAGAAAGCAGCGCCATGGCCTGGTAAGACTATGGTGACTTTAACTTACCTATTATCATATACATCATCATGTCGTTAACATGTACATTCTCATTATACTAATTTCTGGAGCATAATCAACTGTCCAAGCAGGGGAATCACATCTTGCTGCCTCCATTATCCTTGGATAATGAAACACAATGTTCCTGACCACTAACCAAAGCCTCCTATATGATCTCTTGTATGTAGAGAACATCATTCTCAGGCACAATGCCCCTACCTAGAATTCCTCATCTGTGAGAGTAATCTGCTGACGTGCTCTAAATGCTTCAAAACAAAGAAAAGTTACTACGTGAGAGGACAATCTGGAATAACAGAACTTTGTCCCAGCTGGAGTCAATACTTCTGATGTGAAGAGAGAGGAGAAATAGAAGTAAA